ATTAACATATAAATTGAATAGAAATCACCAAGATAAAGCAGGCTTTAGCTGGGCTCGAGGTTGATTAGTTAAATGGGCTAGGAATTATACTTGAGGTCATGGAAATTAGAGCTTACAGCTAGCTAAGAAAGCTGCTTAGCTCAGTTTCCTTGCTACATGTCAATAAATGATATATATCACATTAGCTAACAGTAATACCAATATATAAATTAATAATACATAATATTCAATACTAACATTCACCACCTCTATTTTGGCTTTCTGTGACTTTCAAATTTGAGTGTTTGAAAGAGCAAGTGAGGAGCTAAGGCTCAGTTTGAAAGGAGTACAAATACAAATATCTAAAATGCAAAACTTTATGTTTTTGTATTATTTTGTATGTATTAACATTATACATATTTGTGTTTGTATTCTTTCCAAACTGAGCCTAATGAATTAATTATAAACGTGTTGCTGAATGAAAGATACAATACAATTCAATCGAGTTTGTCAAACCATTTGGGAGTTCGGATCTACTCCTCACAAAGTATTTCTCACACTGACCTCAGCATGTTTCAACCGTACATCGAGAACATTTCCCATATTTCTATATTATTATTTATGGGAAATGCTTCTAATACTCTATATATAAGGAGCATATATTCACCGTTTGGGGTTCAGGAGGAGTTGGTCTCCACAGTTCAATTAAGTGCATCTAATGTTGTGGCTGTGTAAAAAAGTTGAAAAATTGGTATTTATGGGCAAATTAAGGAAATAATAGTAAAAGACGGTTTGCCTCAATTCTCAAGAATTCAAGCAAGGATTAGTTGAATGCAATGATTATTCAGCGGGCTGTGGAACCAATGATAAGGTTATACACCAGTAATAAAATACATAGGACCCATATCTTTCACAGTGGGGCTCATAAATTTATTAATGACTTGGAACCTCATCATTGATTCCGTAACCCACCAAACAACCATTACATTCAGCTAATCCAACTCGACACACACCAAACCCATGAAAAAATAATGATGGCTTCACTTTAGGGTTCCAACCAGATTGGATTGGATTGAAAAGGCCCACATCCAATTTTGATTCGTTAATATTTGAATTTAATTTGAAGCTTATCCATTTGTTTTATGGCATATTCATATTGAAATTTGATATAAAATAGTATTAATAAATAAAAATAAAAATAATCAAAATACTATATATTATTAATAAATTAAACTAAAAATAGTTTCTAGCTTTTTATGTCATATATGATAAAGTGAGTTGAAAATAATAATTATGACTCGCTAGTAGAAATAATTTGTCAAAGGGGTTCAACTATGATATCGGAAAAATTTGTAATAAAGATGATAATCAATTAAGTTATTTTTATAAAAATTCACAGGGGTTTAATTTGGTCAAGGCTCTTTTATTATCATGTCTTTCCAGTAGCATAGATTATTTTACTTTGTTGAGATGGTCACTTGGCAGTTGGCACCTCTCTAAATATAAGGAGTGTAAGATCAAATCCTTGGAACTGCAGGCTCACGTGCATCTGCTCTATCAGTGTTATACCAATTTCCCGTAATTACACGAGTTGGATCATATTAGCTTGGATAGTGCTATATCCATATTCGATCCAATTTTAACTGGGTGAAGAATCTCAAGTTCTCATCCATTTTCTTTGCATCCGATTAGCTAAGCAAGCTTGGTCTCTTAAGTCGAATTTAATGACTTATGGAGTGCTTTTCTCCATTCTACCTTATAGCCGAAGATGGGAACATAATCAGGGCCGAACCAGGCCACCGGACATGAAGTGCAACTACGAGTCCAGCCCATCACCATTTTGCTTCTAGAACACAGGAAAGGTCTTTCTGTATGGGGCCCTCAAAATTTTCCATTTGTCGTTTATTTCGAGGATCAGGACAGATCATTGAATGGATGGATCCATCCCAAGAGAGGGTCCTCAACCATCATCAGTACATGGCTCACATGTCAGAAAAACCATCAGTGCATGGCCACATGCCTTATTTTCTGATCATGAGCTAGCGTGTGAACATTCCTTTTCCAAACCATGAAAATAACGCAACAAATAGCACAGCTACAACAATGTCTTAAAGAAAATTTATTTCCCAGCATTAAATCTCCATTGTGGACATGTGGTAAGTTATGAGGCCCAAGCAAAGATGTGTTCATGGGTCCTATGGACTCACGTAGGATCTTTTGATATACTTGGCCCAGACCGATACCGAAGCTAGTGTTAGCATGTTGGGCTGGGTTATCCATAGTCATATCAAGGTTTATTGTGTTGCTTTCCTTCTGAACAATGAGTCAAACCATTTACAGCCAAATCTCGTTGGCAAAAACACTGAGGGTCTGTTTGTCTTGTGGCCTGATCTGAATCAAAGTCGAAATTCCTTGAAATCGGAACTAGAATTGAATTCCATAAAGTATGCCATAAGGGGGTGACAAATTCTACGTTACCTGATGGGTATCCACTCCTATTGCGTGATTGCGTGAGGGGAGAATAGGGTTTAGAATTAAAGTATATAAACTTAATGTATTAGGTATTGAATTTAATAATATTTTGAATTTTATGTAAAGAATAATTAATAATTTATATGATTTTATATGTCTTAATCAAATAATTGAAAATTTTGTTATTTGTTTGTTGTTTATATATATCAAAAGATAATAAGAAATTATATGCAGGTTCTAAACCCGACTTGCCTTACTCTTGAATTTGGGGAGGACAGGTCAGGGAGGATTTTGTATTTTCATGTAAGGAAAGAGTTTAAATTCTCAAAATCCAATCCACTATAGATTTTGGGGCAGATACGGATTGGGAGGTGGGTCAGGTAAAACCCTCTCTATTTCTATCCCTAACTGGAATGAGATTCTCATTCCCAAGGAGGGGAGGCCAGAATGACCATTACCTCAAATAGAACAATGCCATTCTGCAATGACCAGAAATTGCAATCCCATTCCATCCAACCACTATTTCAATTCCGATTTTAAACTCCTATTATCATGAACCAAACGGACCCTGATATATCTATTTGCTTTTTGACAATAGGCTCTGATGATGCACAATCTGGCCGGTCCTAGCTGTCGATGATCTTGCCTCTGAACTGAGTAACAGGGACCTGAAACGGAAGGGGAAGAGAAGCTCCGGGGAGAACCCGGCGTAAGGGCTCCGAAGCTCAAATTAGAATCTTTCAAAGGCAAGAATAACCAGATAGCGCGAAAGTTAGCATACCTCGTTCCTGGGGGGTAGAAGCCTTTTATAACCACCTCRCGCACTCACTTCCAGGCCTCCGTCAGGTCGGGCATGATTACTTCTGAACTCCTGCCAGTTCGGGTGTCACTTCCTCTGGCCGGACAGAACCGCCACTGTTCCTTTTG